GGGGGCTTTCGTCGCTTTTAAAATAAATCTGATGCCCCGCACGCCGGCCACCATCGCAGTGCCGCCCGCCCCACAATCCACGCTGCCCGATAAATTTATTGGCGGCAGAGCCCCGGAATCAGAGTCGCCGCTGCCGCTTCCTCGGAGTCTCACCCTCGTCTCCTTCCGCACCCTCCGCGGATGTCGGGTCGTCCGCTAGAGGCGGATCAACGACCGGTATTGGGTGGCCGCTGATGTTCGGGAAGGCGGTGCACACATCGGCGTATTGGGGGCACACAACGCTCCCACGCCACGGACCCGATGGCGGCGTAACGGTCTCACCCTCCTGGCACTCGTGCCACGCATCGTCACGAAGGAACCGCACGCTCACTGTGCCGTCGCCGCATCGAGTGTCCACACAAACGTCGCCAATATATTTGTCGTCGAATTGAAGGTCCTGCCCCTTTACGCACCGCGAGTTCGGGCCAACGACACTGCCAAGCATTGCTGAAGGATCGCCGTTGGTGCAACCACCATTAGAATACTCCTTGACATACGGGCATCTGCTCATGTAGAGGCCATCACCGCCAACTCGGGGATCAGCGAAGTACCGATACTCCTGTGGCAGGGCTTCCTCGTGCCTCATCAGCCTACAGAACCCCAGGGAAAGACGGTCGTACGTGCAGAAGAACATTACATTTTCGTCAAACTGGCTGCAGAACAGGTCAGGGTATTCGCTGATGCCGTCGGTCAAGCACTTCTTTTCCAGCAGCCCACAGCCAGAGTTGTTGCCCCACCACAACATCTCCGCCGCACTGTAGTTTGCCACATAAACACCCATGTCCTCGAATGCTGCAAGCGTCAGTGCCGAGTACAGCCCTACGCCCACATCACTAGTCATCATCTCGTCCCTCATGTTGCGTTTCTTCCAATGCGACAGTACAGTGTCACAACCGCCCTCGTCCTCCAGCTCAATGCCCTCAAGCGTGGAGCAGTTGTGGTACTGACGCGCCATTGCCTTCGTCTTCGGCGTTGAAATCACCGACACCCTGAGCATCCCACGCACGTTTGGGACATCCTTTTTTTTTTTTTTTTCGCGATGAGCCTGTTATTGAAACAAATGTTTTTTTAGTAAAAAAAGAATACCAATTGTTCTGCAAAAATTGTTCACCTCTCTGTTCTTCGTGGCGTTGACACCCCGTGGCAGAGGCGTTCCCAGCTCTCACTATTCGTGGCAGTATTGTCCTACAAGTTGCACCGCCGGAATGTTTAACGGGGTATATAGCCATGCTTTCAGGATGAAAAAGTGAGAGCGTTGTAAAGAAGGCCTTTTGTTTTTCTTTTACTTGTTTGGAGCGATCGCATGTTTGAGCGTGTTGTCGCTGAAGGTCAATAGTAATGGTGATGAAATGATATATATATATATATATATAAAATGAGCATCCCTATTCTCAACGCCAATAAAAAAAAACAAAACAAACAAACATAAAACAAATATATTAAAAGAAAAAATATTTCGCTTTGCGCTGCCTAGCCAAAAAACAATCTTTACCCTGACGTCTTCGTTTACTTCGGGTACCGTCATCTTTCGGGAGATAAGGAAAATAAATCGAGAGGAGGAGGGAGGAAAGTGAAAAGGGGACAAAAGAAAACCACAACTTTCCCCATCCTGGGTGTTCATTCTTTGTTTCATTCCCTTCCAATTTTACTTCTCTGCCTCTTATCCCGGCTTGGCAACGTTCTATGCATCCTCAAAGTCGTCCAAGTACTCGACCTCGGAGGTGATGAATGAGTCGTAGGAGGAATCCGTTCTTCGCGTGGGTGAGAGTACTGAGCTACCGGGGTTTTTGCCGCGGGGTTCGCTGACGGAAGTGTACGTCGTTTCATTGGGTAATTGGAGGCGCTGCATCGCGGGAGCAAGCGGAACAAAGGGGCCCTTTTTGTACGATATGGGTGGTTCTTCATAAGCCCGGATAATTTGCACGCGAATAACTTTCGTGGCTGCCTCCTTCTGCCGTGTCGGCTGTCTTTCCAAGGCCATCCGCGCATCCTTGTATTTATTCCACATGTCCGTTAAAAACTCCACCTGGTGTCTGAGTGTGTGCAGGTGAACTGCCAACTCGACTCTTTCCTCCTCGGCTGCCCGGCCCTTCCGAGTCTGGTGAAACGCTTCCACCAGGCTTTGGTTCAGTTCATCCAGAGGAGCAACCTTCAACGCCGTTCCCTGGAATTTCGCGTATAGGCGCTCCACTGCGGTTGCAAGCAAATTTTCCATTTTGTTCTCTTCTGAAAACACAGGGAATTCGGTTCTATCACCGTGTCCCGGCGCCATTGTGCCCAAGCCATTGTTACTATAGGCCTCGTCCGGACCCACGGCGACACTACAGGAATTGAGCGTCTTTGATTGAGGCTCGTGTTGTGGGGGCGTCCCATTGCGACTGCATACAACAGATGCCACTGACTTTTCTTCGTTAGGCACGAGAATTACACGACTTTTGTTGGCGTCGCTCGTGCCATAATTTGTCTCAAATTCCTGCAAAGGAGATTTCTGTCCATCCCTTTTTGGATGAATTTCATCTTCCTCGCCATCGTCGTAGTGTTGGGGGGGTTCTTTGTGAGAGGACTCCGCTTCGCACATCTTACTGCCACTCGTGAACTTCATCGCCCCAGCATCAAGAGACACGGTCGCGGAGTGAGCTAACAATTCCTTACTCTCTTGACATGCCAAGGAGACCAGTGAAGAATGCCTTGAAGTGTGTTCCTGCTTTTCAATGGACGTGGCGTCTTGGGAGGTTTGAAGAACGTTCAGATCCCTCCCCTGCAGATGTTTATTTCTTGCACTTATGAAAAGGGAGGAGAGCCATGATAATCCCTCTTGACAATGTCGTTTCCCTTCAGTGGGAAGATCATAGGGGCATCGCAACGCTGCGCACTTTAAATGGAGTTGTAAGGGATTGAGGCTACCCCATTTTTCCCGTCTTTCATCAGGGGAGGTGAACATAAACTCCAACAACGGCCTCTATTAACCATTCGCCTATGTTGCTACCTACAGGAGGAGAACCATAGTTCAATAAACAAGAGGGCATCATAGTAATACCCACCAGACTCACAAATAAACAAATGGAGTACGTGATGTAATGCAATTTACACAACCAGCTGCCGCATCAGGAGGGTCATCGGTGCCCCTTTAGTGTTTTCTTTGAAACACCACATGTCTGTCGTCCCATCGTCCTTTTTCTCTCAGCGGCCCACCCCCCATCATGTTGAGCCAAACACATAAAGAAGAGAGAGAACGAGAGGAATCAAACAAACCAAAACGGTACATACATACATATATTAGAAATTATCCGTGTGATTGGGAATGAGAACTAAAACAAAACAAAACAACAAAAAAAAAAAATAAGACAATGTGTGGAGAGCGTTTGGAAGCAACTACAATGGTGCATTGAAGATCGTCCACTTCCGATTATCTCATCATGACGGTACCGGCAGCGAGGCAAACAAAAAAGGGACGTAATTGAGGCCGACGGAGAAGGTGTACGTGTGTGCGTCTGGCCTTTTTCTCCATTTCTTTCTCTCTAATATATATATATGTATACTGTGCGAAGTCCTATCTTTTCTATAGTCTCATAAGGCCACGGTATACTACGTCCTCTGGCCGACCAATCACCACGATAGTCTGTGGCGCCGATGTACGAGTGGAGTCCGTTAACGTCACCGCCAAAGATTTGAATGTATTCGTGGAGCTCATAAACCCAGTCGTTTCGCGGCGCACATCACATGTAACAAAGCCTTCTCTCCCGTTCGCTGGATTACGCAAGATAAACATCATCTGCAATTTTCTTTGCTTCAGTCCTAAAAGATCAGATAGTTCATAGGACCCGCTGCGAATACGACGAATGAGTGGAAGACGAAAGCCTCCGCTTTGGCAATAGGCCTTGAAGTCCCCAGTGCGGGGGTGCGAACCGAGGTGTTGCACAACCTTTTCGTTTCGCATTACAAGAGCGATAGATTGGTTGTACACGGCGTTGGGGTTGATCCTAAATCGGCGAATTACTGCAATGATGACGGTGTAGAGCACTGCACTACATAAAAAGCCACTCATGAATCCCAGACGGGCCACTGTTGCCAGGCTAAAGCGTGAAAGCATGGCGTAGCCCTTGAGGAACACTGCCACAATCACAATGATGGCGCATACGGTGGCACCGGTTTTGGCATAAAATATCACGGCATCGGCGGAGAAGCCAAAAATGGTCCCTGTGTAGTGTGTTGCTTGCTTGTCGAAGAGGACCTCCTCCACCTTTACCTGCCGTGCTTTGGGACGTAGCATGCCAAAGAAAGCACGCCGTGCCGTGTAAAAGGCAGAGGAGCGATATGGTGCAGGAATAACGCCCATGCGGGACGGCACCGGGAAGTGAAGCGTCGTCTGCGATGACGCGGTGGAATGAATGATACGTCGCATCATTCTCCTCCTGTCACGGCCGGAAAGAGAAAAGGCTTCTTCGCGTCCGACGGACACACACACACACACACACTCCCTCCCTTTGCGTGCGTTGCTGTGCAACCCCCTTATCTGCCCGCCTCACTGCTCTGTCGCGAGAACTGCACGCAAACACAAATCCGGAGGAAAAAAAAAATAGTAATAATTAAAAGAAAAAGGCGCTTCAGTGGAACAACAACAACAGAAGTTAACAGCACAACATTCGATTCATGCGGTCTTTCACAAAACCACAGCACAAGTAAATATACCAAACGGCGGAGAAGCAAAAAGATGGCCAATAAGAAAGATTTCCCCCCCCTTCTCTTCGTTGTTTGTTTCGACCGCTTGTTCTCGCAAAACAGCCCGACAACAGAGAACACCTCAAACACACACGCACGAGCCATACCGTTTCCACACGCATGGAGGGAGTGGGAGAGAAATGGAAGGGGGATTGAGAGACACAGACAAAACCCCTCCTATTTCTTGTCAAGTTATTGTATTTCCATCTCCCCCCTCCCCCAACCCCGTTTCTTAAAGATATATATATATAATGATAGCCCTTGCCGCTGCTGCTTCTGCTGCCGCCACAGTTGCGTCCGTTACGCGCATCTCCGCGGCGCAACGGGTGGGTTGGTTCATTGAGACAACAGAAAATCGTGGTCAGGTTTGAAGCAAAATATAGCCGCGTACGCGTGGATGCCTGCGTGTGTACGTGCCTGTTCTGAGGAGGTGTGGGGCGTATTGCGACCGCCAGGTAAAATGCCCACCATATCTCCAGAAAAAAAAAAAAAAAAAAGGAAATCCATCGAATAAATAATACACCAGCCATCGCTCCCCCTTCCCCAAGAGTGAGCTGGAACACACAGAAAGACACACGCAGACACGCAGAAACAGACAGAGAGACAACGAATAAAGTAATACAACGACAGCAACAACCAGAGAAATGAGTAATAATGTCGCAACTCACAGCGTGAGGGTATTGAAGATGTTGGGGAACACAGACGGACACATGTATGCATGTATGTATGCATATATATGTATGTAAGTGTGTTCGTGTGCGTTTTCCGTCTTCTCCCTCCCCATTTCCATTTAGAGTGTTTTTCCCAAAACAGCGGCCAGGACAAACAAAGCAATAATAGCTGCTACTAAGAGCACCAGGCAACAAAGTTTTCTTCTACTGCGTCTTTGATACTTGCGTGCCCTCTTCATCTCCTTTCTCCCCGCTTCTACATATTGGGTTGTGGTCTCGATGTTTCTCAAAACCACATCCATAATCTCACCTTGCTCGTGCACGAGAAATGCCAAATCGTTGAAGAGTTGGTTGAGTGTCCGCATCGACCGCTCAATGTGGTAGATATCATTCCTAGTCTCGATAATCTGAGCCAGAACATCTTTACTCTGCTGAAAAATGCTGCTTGTGGTGTTGTTGTCCAGCACTGCCTGGGCAAGTTCCTTCGCCGTCTCATCATCAATCGCGGAACCATCAGGGTTTGTGTATTTGATCTTTATCTGCCGTTCGGTCTGTGCGCGGTACTGCGACTCCACCGAATTCTGCTGTCGCTCATACGCCTCCATCGCCTTGCTTAGCCGATATAAAAAATAACGCCTCTGATTTTCCTCAATACGTATCACGCCAATAAAGTGACTCTCCATCTCGGGAGTTGCCTTTAGTTTGTCCGTCTCCCTCTTCATTGTCTCAAGGATTTCAGCAGAGGCTTGCGCGGAGGCGTTGAGTTGTTGCGTCAACGCCTCCACCTCCTGCCGCATGGAGCTGCTCTTCATGAGATCAAACGTACTCATGATCTCCGAGTGTTTTGCGGCAATTTCTCGCGTCAATCCAGTGACACGTTCAACGGCACCGCCGGCTGCGGCAACTAAATCGTAGAACTCCTCTAATTTCTTCGCCGCCTGGACGCTCTGCTCCGATGGAGGCTCCGTGACGGTGACCCGCGCCGGACCCAACTTGTCGGACCCCGGCGCCGGCACATCACCAATCAAAGTGGGACCACACGCCGCTTGAAACTGAGCGAGGCGGTTCATCGATGCCTGACACCCCGGAAAAGAGAGCGGGAGAGAGGCGCGGGGGCCGTGAGGCAAAGAACTACGGGCAAAAGGAAACAAACAAACAAACAAACAAAATCAGGAAAAGAATGAAAAAGGACCGCGGGGATATTCGGAGCGCAGGAAGAACCCGGGCGGCAGGGCAGTCACAGCGGCCCCCTTCCCTTCCGCCCTGATTGAAGTGTGTGACGAGTCTCTCTCTCTGTGTGTGTGTGTGTGTGTGTGTGTGTGTGTGTTTATGTGTCTGCCCTTCAGCCCACTTGGATTGAAGTTGAACAAACAAAACAAAACAAAACAAAAACAAAAAAAAAAACAAAAAAAAAAAACAAACAAACCGGAAACGAGAGTGTGGGAGGAAAAAGAGCAAAATTAAAATATCCACACAAGGAATAGCAAGAGTCCCGTCCTACTCCTACTCCTTCATTCATACCGTCCGCATCCGACAAAAGGTGAGAGAAAAAGGAGTGAGTCGAAGCAACGACAAAAAACAACAACAACAACAAATGCAAGTTCACAAACGAAGAATCAGCCCTCCTTTCTGGTTCATCTCCTCCCGTAAAAGGGCCCTTTCTTGCGCGAGTTGATTGCTGACATCGTGCAATAGGCCCTCCATCTCGCCACGACAGAGTGACTGCATCTGCGGGGAAAGGATCCGTAGCTTTTCTTCCGTAACTTCCTGAACTTTATGGCTTTCCTCAAAAGATCCCGTAAAACGCAGTAACTTGGCTTGGCGAATGAGTAGCTTGAACTTGATAGTATGCAACCAGAGCCACTCACTTCTTAAAACCAATGCCTCTTCCGTCCCCTGAAGTTTCCCAACATTCAACCAAGCCAAAACGCGCTGAAGGACATCCAATGCACGTGCGCACCATCGAGCAACCTGCATTTGACGCTGCCGAAGGACGTTTGCATTACGCCTGTTTGTTGACGATGCATCTGACGAGGAAGAAGAAGCGGGTTGCATCCGCAAAAGAGTGTGTGCCGCATTGGCTGCGGCTACCAGCACTTGGCGGTGCAATGCATACCAAACATGGAGAAGTACATGGGAGCCAGGAAACAAATCTCTTCCATGCGCTAGCATAGAATCATAGTATAAAGCATTCACTTCAGAACAAGCGGTGTTGTTTCTTCGCAAGTTAAGAAGAAGATTTAAATATCGATTCGCTGGTGTGATATCTTTTCCCCCTTGCAACACTGTGGTAGCAAAAATGGAATAAATTTCGTCCTCGATATCATCCTCTTCAGCGTTTTCCATGCGATCCTCCAGGGAAGGCGGCGGTCGAAGCGAGTGGTTATACGGGTACAGGATTCCTTTCTGGGCCAAAGCCAGCGCACGGTGATAGCAGTCCATGGCGTCTCTGAGATTCAGCAAGGGTTCCTGGAGGGACTCCCCGCCTGCTTCCCTCATTTGTTCCGCCAACCGAAGATGCGAATGATATAAAATGGAAGCAAGCCGGTCTGCGGTCAATTCGTCATGCACACTCTGCGGGACCACTTCTATTCGCCCCATGGTGAATACAAGCCGGTACACTTTCTTTGCTCCATGGGCGTCGATATTAGCCAATCCATGGCGAGGTATAAATGTTGCCTTCAGGTCTCTGGAGAAGGGAATTAACGTCACCGCTCCTGGAATGAGTGCAGTGATGCGTGTGACACTGTGAGCTGCTTGGTGAAGAAGTCGTTGCAACAGCTGCGATGACCAGTGAACTGACGCCACCGCTGTGTTAAAAGGCCCCTTTTTAATAGAAATGAATGGAGCAATAGAGGCCTCGACTACATCCTCACCATCGTGGCTTGTTGCAGATACCCTCGTGAAATCTTTATCGTCTCCATGTGTCTGCCATTGTGCGTCGTGAAGTCGTTGTAATGCCCGCCGCGTCAGCAGACGAATAAGCCCGTGGCGGAGCAGAGTCCTAAACTCCTTGGAGAGCAGCCCACCCAATGGGGCATAGAAGCGAAGAAACGGGCCCAGCTCGCGCTCCACCTCCGTCACTCCCCCAAGCGTCACCTCATCCCCTTCCTCCTTTTCCAACCACTCCCCTCCATGGAGCAGCAACGCCTCGTATTTCGACAATGCAGGTGGCGGCCACGCCATGGTTCTCTTGGCGTTGCAAACAAAGAACTCAGCGGCCTGGAGCTGCTCACGCACAATTCCTCCTTCATCCTCCAGGAAAAGTTCCGCCGTGGCTGTGACCCGCAGAAGTGCCATTTCTTCTGTCTTCCTCGCCACGCCGCACACAGTAAGAACGCATAAATGGACAAGAAAAAAAAAAAAAAAAGAAAAGAAGCGGAGACGGGGATGGCGGAGTGCAGAGGGACATTGGATCAAAGAACACCCCGCATTTCCATGGGACACATCCAGTTGCTGCAGCCAACCAGTCATACAGTTTAAAAAAATTCCATTTATACAATAACTTCCAACGCTTTTCAAAACAAACAAACAAAAGAAAAATTATTATTATTATTTTTTTTTTTCATTTACTCCAAGAGCTGAAGGTGATGGGGGACAGAAAAGGAGTTGCTCTTCAACGCTTCTTGTAGCGTTTCATTGGCACAACAGAGTCGACCCACGATTGCGTCCTTCAGAGGTAATAAAAAAGATGTAAAAAAAAAAAAATTGATTAAAAAACAAGTACGCACAAAAACACACAAAAACAAACAAACAAACAAAAAAAAAAAGACCCAACAAAAGTAATAGTCTCAAATTAATTAGGCTAAAAATAACAAAAATAAACAGAGCCTCCAAATAAAGCCGAAGCACGGAAAAATGTTCTGCAGCGCTGCTGGCCAGATCCCGAACTGATGCGCACAAATAAAATAGGTCGGAAAAGAAGAGGGCCATGGAGAGGCAGCGGCCTCGCCACATCCTCAATTTTTGTCCCAAGTATATCTATGTATTCTGACAGGCACTCTCGTGCCACGGTGCGGTGTATTCGGGTTGGAGACATTTATTACCTACGAAGTGGAACACTTTGGGCTCCTCCAGCCACAAGACCTCGCCGCAAGGTCGGAATCAAAGAGGGTGGATGGCAAAAATAAAAATAAAAACAAAATTCGTCTTGCCGCTATCGGTTCCTTGATTCCTTCCATCGGGGCCTTCCAAAGGAACATAAGGTAGGAAAAGGATCACACGGAAATATTTTCTACGTTTTACCAGGACATATATTAAATTGGGCAGCCAGCCCTCTCGATAACATCCTCCTCACAGGCACTGAAATATAATTCGTAGGAAAAGCAAATGTGTAAATGGTGCAAAGCAAATAGATTCATAGGGCTGGCACCGGAAGAACAACTGAAAATAAAATTTTATGTTGGTGACCTCGTTTGTCTTTGCGTAAGAAGAAGAGCTCTTGCGGTTACTCTTTCCCCTTACATGGTGGTGCAGCATCCGCATCTATGATTCCTGCCGCAACACGGTTTACCAGCAGCAATCTGTGCGGTACGCCTCCACCTCCCTGAGTCCCGATTTATTGGGTCTCCCTCAAGCTGCTGCAACAGTTCCTGTTGTGTCGCCGCAATGCGCTGCATATCCCAAAGAATAGCATGCAGGGTATTCATGTGATCCTGCAGTTTCCTAAAATCCGAATTTCCCTCCTCGGCGTTGTCAGCCAGCGAACTTGATATGACGCCGCCAGCTGTTTTTTCCCACATGGAGGACGTTTCCGAATCGCCGCGCCGAATAAAGGAAGAAGTGTTCCTGCGAGAGCCTCCAATGTCTCTTTGTCTCCGCAGCATGTCCCTACAAAGCCGGTAATGTTGTTGCCATGCCGTGAAAAGCTGTCGGTAAAGAAGTGACTGCTGATTCTTTTGAATGCCTATCATATTTTTACGCGAGGCAATGAAGGCAGCACGTGTGACGGGGATTTCAATTCGTTCCCTCGCCGTCAAGGCACCGAAAAAGTGCAGGGACCTCATCTTCTCCAGTGCGGCAGAAAATTCCGTCCTGAATTCACAGTAAAGTTTTTCCCGCACCAAACTTTCGTCATCGCCATGGCCATTAAGAGCAGCAAAACCCTTTTTTTGTCGCAGTCGCTGCATCATTTTCCCTGAGGAATCGCGCAGACGGGAGGTGATGGTATTCGCCCGATGTACCCGCCGGCGTATCTCGGCCGCATTGGTGACAATCTCTCTGCAGGGGTCCTTTCCCTCGGCCTCCTCGTGGCGGTGCCTCTCCTCTTGGCCGCTGCCTTTGGCCTGTAGGAGGCAATTTTTGGACAAATTGCTCCCCGCCTCACTATTCCATGCACCGGAGGCGGATGACGACATGTCGTCGTCTTTACTCAACGTTCTCACGAACAGAAGCGCATCCTTCCCCTGCATCTGCCGTGTCTTAAGCCCCGACAGGGAATCCATGCGCGCCCACGCACCGTCTTTTTTTCCTTTCACCACCAATACTCGGGTGATTGGCCCCCTCTTTCTCTCTTTCCCTTCTCTCTCTCTTCGCCAATTCCCTCCAGACGCTTTTCATTCACTGGTTGATCGTGCGAATAGCTTGGGTGTCCCGCAAAGGACCCTCACACACCGACACTACAGCAAAATAAAGGCAAAAAAAAGAAAAAAAAAGCAACGATGAAGAGTCATGTGTCATTCCAACCAAAGAGAGTTCCATAAATTTATTAAAAAGCCAGCGTCTTTTTCTCATAACACCCGTGTACACATGTATGCATGCATCTAAAATAAATAATAATAATAATAATAATAAATACATTTATTTATGTACCTGTCGCCGGTAAGGAAATGCCTGCCATTTTTTTTTTTTATTTGTCCTTCTTTCCTCCTTCTATGTTTGCTGTTATTTTCTCACCGCAGCGTCGTTATTTTCCATTAACCAAAGAAGTGAACTGCATTTGAAAGAGGAATAAGAAGTACAACAACAAGAAAAGGAAATGAGGAAACAAAAATCCAGAGAGAGAGAGAGAAAGAGGGAGAGGGATGGAGAAAAAGATGATTCACCGGTTGTATCGCCGTCTCATTGCCCAACAACCAATGTTATCCTTCATGCGTGCTGCTTTTTCCACCGTTGTAAGCGCATGAAGCCTGTAATGACATATATCCTCCTCCTCCTCCTCCTTCTCTGTCCCTCACTTTATTCCACTTTTCCTCATGTTATCAGCCTCAATGACGCCGCCCTTTCCTCTCTAATACGTTATTTTTTACAACAATACGGCCTCTCACTGCCATTTCGGTACGCCTTTAGTTCTTCTTCTTCTGCTTCTCTTTCCTCGATTCGATCCATATTGGTTGCTGTCCGGCGGTGGTTCTTTTCGTTTCGTGCGTTTCACAATAGAAACACACACACACACACACACACACACACACACACACACACGGCCGATACTTAGAACTGGTCCGCAATATTTGCAGGCAGCTCCTCAATCTGCGTGGCGTAGAACTGCTCAACGTCCCGCAGCAACCGCAGCTCATCATGCTTCACAAAACTAATCGCAAGGCCCTTGCGGCCCATTCGCCCCGTGCGTCCAATGCGATGGATGTACTGCTCACGTGAAAATGGTAAATCGTAGTTCAGCACAAGCGACACCTGCTCCACGTCAATGCCACGTGACCATAAGTCTGTTGAAATGAGCACTCGGCTTTTTCCCTCACGGAAATTTCGCATAATTTCATCCCGCTCCGCCTGCGGCATGTCGCCATGCATGCAACTCACGGAAAACTTCTCTTTACGCATCTTCTTCGCCAACTGTTCGACCTTTTTGCGGGTGTTACAGAAGATAACGGCATGGGCGATGGTTAGGGTGTCGTAGAGGTCGCAGAGAGTTTCAAATTTGTTTTTTTCCTCATCCACCGCAACAAAGTACTGCATGATGGAATCTACCGTAATTTCGTCACGCCTAACAAGAATACGCACAGGCTCAGTCATGAACTTTTTCCGTCATTTCAAGCACATCCACGGGAAAGCGTCGCGGAAGACAAGGACTACCTGCAA